CCCTCTCTTTCTCTCTCTCCCTCGTTTTACAGAGTCCCGCTCTCTACGTTTAGCTGCCATTGTGCGGAGACGCCACTTCCGAAGCATCAAATTTAATTCCTCCGATACCGTTTGGTTTCCTTCATTTTTAAGTCACTGATAAATCTCAGGGAAGCCGTTCAGACGATAGGTATGACACCCTCCAGGGGCATCGGGGGATAGGCCTGGTACTGGTGGATGGTATGGGGGGGTGATTATTTCAGGGGGGTACTCCAATTTTCAGTTTAAAAACTATTTTTCATCTTGAAATTTTATTTGGGGTGGAATATATCGGTTGTATAGTTTTACATGTTGTAAAGTTGATGAGGGTCGATCGGGGGAGGTGACTCCTGGGGGTTAATACTTTTGTTATTGTTTATGGGGGGTATTCGAGTTTGGGGATATTTATGGGGGTTTAGGAGGGAAATGTGAAATGTGTTGTTGGAGCACGCGAGGTTAGGACGGTTGTAACAGTATGACCTGAGTTACCGCTAGTTTTTGATAGAAGTAGGGGGAAGGTTGGAATTATTTAATGATTATGAGGTTATTTTGATCGAAGGATCTGGACTTCACTTTTTTTTTTTTTTTCAAAATATTCTGAAGGATTTTGAGGTGATTTTTATGATTTGTTTTGTGTCATTCGTTTGTGACGAACGGAACCATTGGACTTGATTAATTCTGTGATGATTAATGGGTGGACGTTGGTGGGTGATAAGAATTTATAGATGAGTGTTCATTTTTCTTTTTATTTGCAGGAGACACGTAGAATGGAAGCCATGGACTTGGACGGAGATGCTGTTGTTGATCTCAGTGTTAGGTGAGATTTTATTTTGTTATTATTTTTTATAGATTTTTCACGGTTTGTGTGAATGGTGATTAGCGTTGGAGTTAAGAGCTATCGTTCGACAGGTGTTTAAATAAAACAACAAGTTTTACTTATCGCCATGTGGCACATTTTTTTTTTCTTCACGTGTTGAACGTTAAGCTGCGGGGAATAAGGATGTGGGAGTTTCTCATAGGCTTGATTTATTTATTATTTACTTAGATTTCTGCTGTTTGGATTTTTTTATTTCTTCATTACTCAGCTGTTTTTTTAGAATATTTAATTATTTTGTTTTTGTCGGTATTTGAGTGAGAAAATGTCAAGTATTCAAATACGTGAAATGAATTTATTCTTTTAGTTATTGTAGTTAATATTGTATAGAATTAATTTTTCGTTTTAATTATAGAATGATAATTATTAGGTTGAAGTTAAAAAAATAGTAATCCCCTGAAATTAAATTTTGTTGACAGTGTAAGAAGGGATTCTCCATCGGTACCATCGAATCCTCCAGTGGATGGTGGTGTTCCTCTGGACCTTGGGGTACACTATCAGCCCTCAACAGCGGAGAACAATATTCCTGAGCTGAGGAATATACAAAACTCATCACGAGGCATTTTAGCACCTAATAAATCATCCGGGGACGACAGAAGACCCAGGCGAAACCTCAGGCCAAGAACAGAAAGAAGTTATGCTGAGAGCCCTGATGAACCCAGACTCAATGGTTATGTGAATGGAAATACGTCGGACAGTGACGAGAGTGAGATGCCACCCCTTCTACCAATCAAGGAATTGTCGTCCGATGAATTGGCAGAACGGGAAAGAACCCTGAGAAAGCTCAGAGAGGAACTCAGGTCGGAGGAGATGAAATTAGTTTTGTTGAAGAAACTCCGACAGTCACAACAGCTCAAGGAAAATATTGCCGCTGTACCTAAAACAGTTAATAAGTTACCACCCCCTGTTACAGTACAGCCAGCACCGCACAGGTATTTATCAATTGATTTCTTGGAGTGAAATTCAATTTGTTAAATAATTAATTTGAGTAATTTGAATCATTTGAGTGGATGGATAAGACAAGTCTAAATTAATAATCATCCTCTTGCAAATCTCTCTCCAGAGACAAAATGGAGATCCTCTCCATTATTGGATAATTTTTTTTATTTAATTTTTTACGAGCTTTTATCGCAAAATTCTGTAGATGGCTATAGGATGTAATGATTTATCATTTATCCTGTGAATTACGTTGAAGAATAAAAGTAGAATTGTATTTTTGATATAAAATTTCTTGTTCTAAGGAAAATCTTGGCATTTCAGGATAAATGTAATGATTCTAGAAATTGTTGAGAGATTGTGATAGATTGAATTGTTGGATTAATTTATTATCTACAAGCTCAAATTATATTTCGATGAAGCTTAATAGACTATATAATTATTACCTCTGGAATTCGAAGCCGTGTTATTGTTTTCGTGAGATTTGATTCTTCAATTTGATTGAATAACTTTTCCGATGAAATGGAGATTAGAATGCACGGTTTATTGAGCTCATTCCGTTTTCAATGGCAAAATAAATTACACCTTGAGAGTTATAACACCTCTGGGAAATATGTCCAAAACATTAACCGCGTTACATCTTTCATATTCTTTCGCAATTTACATTTATTTCATAAACATCAGCATTATGATGTAATTTAATATCCTCTCGCCATCAACAAGTAAAGTGCATTGATTTTCCGCTTTTATAATTGCGAAAGAGATAATTATTAATTAACAACCATTGAATTTCGAGGAAAACCTGTAATTATTTTGTTAATTAGGAAAATTATCATAATATTTCAAAAGACGTCACATCTTAGTAAATTTCTACTTTCGAAAAACCAATTGAATAATAATTATTATATAATTGATTATTATTAGTTAATAATTTTACTCCATTTATGGTTAATTGGATTTTCCCTGTAAATGAAATTTAATCTGATTAAGTGATAACTGGATATTATTGGTTCTCTCCAATCGTCTGAAATATTCATATCAGAATGTCTAATGCGGATGGTTTCTCCTCGAAAGTTGGAGCACCTGAATAATGAATAATTGAATAAAAATAAATTTTTCAGTCACAGAACCACAAAGGCTCCACCACCTCTGCTTCGAGGTCAACCAGCACCGAGTAGAAGTAGTAGTCTTCATGCACCACCACCGGGAATGCTTCTACCTCCAAATGTTGGTAGAAGTCCAACGTCGAGTACAGGAATGCCACCAAACATGGTGATACCCCAGCCACCACATCCAAGAACTAGACCACCGAGTCAGGCTAATGTACCGACTTATCATGCACCTGCTGACAGAACAGAACGTACCACCAAGGATCCAACACCTGTACCTGCACATCAGGTTGGTCTTCCAGAATTTAAAACAACGGTTTTCGATTTTTTTGTACATTGTCTATTTGCTGATGAGTATGCTTCCGAATGGATTGAAATTAATGGAGGCATCATTTCCATATTCAACCAAAAGTACATTCTTATTATTCTTTGAATTATTAATTTGATTTAAAAGGTTTTTCCAAGTTATACGACGCATTATTTGCTAATGATTTGGAATAATTGAAGAATCTTTCGATTTCTCATTGGAATTCTCTCGACGGTTCTTCCTAGAAAAAAATCTACAATCTATAGATCTTCATTATTTTTGACGTTATCTTTCATTAGAATACCAAAATTAGTTATTCGGATCAAATTTTTTTATTTAAAAAATCGGGAATTTCGGATTTGCGGAATAAAAAATTTGTGTCCATTCGGAAACAGATGGAAAATGGAAAACGAAGAGAGCAGATAAATGTGTTTGAATGTCATTAAAACTTGATTCATCATATTTTTCTGTGTGTAATTGGAAAGCAGCTTGTTGGACCACCAGAGCCAAAAGTAACTGCTTCAATAAACACGCCTGTCATACCAGAACAGGTACATTCCACCGGAATACTTGATGTCTGATTAATAGAATTTCTCCAAAATACTTGGTGAAGTTGATCTCTTGCAGCTGATAAAATCATCAAAAAATAATGATTCACATCTCCAATCCGCTGAGGCAACTCCTAAAAAATCAATGCCTGAATTTTTCTGTATGAACGATAAGATATTCTTAACAGCTGCAAGAAAATTCAAATGAATTTTGAACATGAATTCGTCAACAGTCTAGACGATTATGACGTGTTAATGTGTCCTTTCGATTGAATCGCGTACAGATTTCATGATATCCTTTCTGGCAAAGTTGATGTGAAAAGTCAATCGATGGGTGAATCGGTAATAAATTCTTTTTCAAATGCAGGAGAGACAGAGGGAGGACAGTCAGTCACCGGCGCAACGTCAAGCAGCAGCGAAATTAGCTTTGAGAAAACAGCTGGAGAAAACTCTTCTGCAGATACCACCACCAAAGCCACCACCACCTGAAATGCACTTTGTACCAAATCCATCCAACACTGAGTTCATTTATCTCGTGGGCCTTGAACACGTGGTGGATTTCATCACAAAAGAGCCAGCGATACCACCACCACCTGAGCCATTCGAGTGTACACAGTGTAAGACTGATTTTACACCAGTTTGGAAATGGGAGAAACCGGCGACTAGTGGTAAAAAGGATGGACCACGTGGACAACACGCCACTTTCTTACGACCACCAGCTGGGAGAGATCCACGAGTCATTTGTGAACATTGTGTCACTACGAATGTTAAAAAAGCACTGAAGGCCGAACATACGAATCGGTAATTGCCATTTTATTATTTTATTTTATAAAATTAGTACAGCACAATAACTCACCGGAATATCTAGAAGATTATCTCGGATTTTTCGAGTTTTTCAATGATTATATTATTGGTGTAAAACTCACAGGATGAAATTTTGAATCGACAGGTTAAAAACGGCATTCGTAAAAGCACTACAACAGGAGCACGAGATGGAGCAGAAGCTGGCGCAAGCAGCGAGTCCAAGTCCAGATCCACCGCCGAAGCCAGTGCCAAAATCAGTGACACCAACGAGAAGAGTAGCAACACCACCAGCACCTCCACCCTCAGTCCAGCAAGCCCCACCACCAGCTCCAACCCCGCCCTCGCAAAAAATGCAAGAGCATCCACTGGTTAAACTGGCAGAGGGTGGTAAATTCACTCCTCATCATGCAGCAGCAGCAGCAGCTCTCCAGCAACAGCTTCTCCGAGAGCTAGCGAAAAATCCAGTGCCAGGACTACCACCACATCAACCCCTACCAGCTCACATGATGCCACCGTTCAATCCTCTTCTCTATCCTTATCAACTTGCGATGGCGCAGGCCGCTGGCGGCAAGGGGCTCGTCGAACTTCAGCGACAAGCTGCTGATCTTCAACGCCAGTATCTTCTCGACATGATACCCTCTCAGGCATCGCAAGGACAAACGAGCCAAGCACCACCCCGCGCCCATCCGCACAATTGGAAAACGTAACCGAGTGCATAAAACAACATCTCAATTAATGGAAAATTCCCAAATTAATGTGACAAAATGCATGGAAGCATTTTAAAATTGCATAAAAGCAATTTGAAAATTCACCGGAGCATTTTAATGCTCAGTGGTGTTTTTTTCTTTCTTCTTTTTTTACTCCATCGGGCCCGAAAGGTCAGGGCAATCCCAAGGGAAAACATTGGAAAAATTAATCGTCGGAACACCAAAGATTTTCTTCGATTGACAAATGTGATTGGTGAAGGAAATTCAGTTTTTCCAACAATTGTGCATGTGATCAATGTTTTATTAAGGTGAATTAAGGACTGATTGACCTTTGTAGGAACCCTTGCACAGACTTTTGACTGTTATACCAATTGATTCTCCCACTGGATGAAATTTCAGTGGTCGAGATGAGTGAATATGTTTTTTTTTTCCATAACGAATAAGGAAAAAAAAAGATGATCTTTTTAAAGCACTTTGTGGCGATCTTGCAGCCAGGTTTTGTCTAACTGGCAGCAGTACCTGTATTTTGTGTATATCTCTTTATTTTTTTCCCCCTTTTCGAACTGTGAGTATTTACTAAGGTAATATCCCTCAAGCGTCCGCGTCGTTGTTTTGAGGTGAGACGTTCTTTTTTTTTTTTTGAGTCTTTTTGCGTCTCCTAAATGATGAATGTTTGGACGGTGTGTGGCGTGAATGGGTTCCGGAGCGTGAATGGAAGCGTGATAAGGCCAAGTCATTTGTTTCTTTTTCTTTCGTGATTTCTACCTTTTTTTCTTTTTTAAATTTCCGAATTTTGGGTCTGATTGATTCATTGGGCGTGGAGTGGTGGAACGTAAGGAGTCAATTACTCAAGTGATGAGTGGTTTGAGGAGAAAACGTGTGAGAGAAAATTTTAGGGAAATGTTTAGCACCTGAAAAATGACGATTTTGCATGATCACTCGGTGATTAACAATCTGTTGATGTTTGAATGAACAGAAAAATGGAAATAATTGTCAAATTTTTTTATAAAAAACCGTTAAGACACCCTTTTTATCATTATTATTCGTCAGTTCACCACTTCACCCCGTAATTAATTCTAGGCCAAGGTCATGAACTTTCACAGTTAATAAACTGTTTGAATGAATCAATCATTTCGCTGATTTATGAAAATGCAAAACAGATTTTTTTGGATTTCTTGTAATTTACAAATTATTCCAATTTAATTTTTATCATTTATATTTGCATTCTCCAAGGAGAATAAATTTGTTATCACCATAATTATCAATCTCTCAAAAATATTAATGAAAAAATGAACAAAAATTCGATCGCTGACAAACTCAAATTGTGAGAAGATAAAAACAACAATCGTCCTACGTCACTAAAACAAATAGTTATAATAGATCTATAATCTCGATAAAATTCGTATAGAATTACATTAAATAAACTAAAAACATAGGCATAATATCAATCTCTCTTTATACGCCGCAATAGATAAATTGAGCTCGAGAAAATATGAACTGAACGTTGTCAACGTGTTTTACGTCATTTTAACTCTTCTGAAGTCACATAATCTCAGTGAGAAACTGAAAGAAAATCTCAATTATAGAATAGGAGAGAAATGAGGAGTGAATTGCACGGCAGAAAATGTTTTTTTTTTTTTTCATTTTTTTTTCCAAGTCACAATCAATCCTGTTATCATCACAAATGGAGATAAAATTGAATGAAAAAGAAAAAAAAAACGCCTTTTGATACATTTTTTTTTCGGTCAATTTTTAGATGAAAAAAAAAAAATATTCGGCAGATCCTGAGTTCGACGTAATTCCAAGTTGAAACTCCATTGATTCACTCCAACTGTGAATTCAAAGACACAAATGAATATATATTTTTTTTACCTTGTCCTCTGGATCTGCATTGGTGCTAAGGGGCGTAGAGGAAAAATAATTTTTAAAGACTCGAACTGAATAATTTAAATAATCCAATCAATCAATCAATGGTAAAGAAATATTTAGCGATAATCCTAGGGGATTCAAACACCTGGGAATATGGGAATATGTTTTCACGTGATCACGAGTGACTAAAAATTCACATTTTTGGCTGATTAAAAATTGAAAATAAAGAAAGGAATAGTAATAATAAAAGAAAGAGACAGACAGACAAAGAGAGAGAGAGAGAGAGAGAGAGACTTTAAAAAATTAGAGGAAATGAATTAAAATTCATTGCTCCGAAATTCGTTCTTGGAATCTTTAACACCGTCACTGATTGAATGAAATTTATGAAAAAATACCCTCCTTTGCTCACATCCCCCCCTACCCCTACCCCCTCCCCAACCCCCCCTCTCCATCATTCTGAATCGCTAGGATTTAGCAGATAAATAACTGTGAATGTTATAAAACAAGAAAAAAAATTAAAGTTAAAAAACAAAAGTAAAGAAATAAAGCTTGTCAATGATTGTACTCGATTATTATTGATTTATTCTCATCATTATACTCAGTTTATTCGATTTTATTTATTAAAAATGCCAGAACGATATCGATATTTTTTTTTTTAATTTAAAAAATAATTATTACGCAGACCGACTGGTGTAAAAATATTTTTAGCGCCTAAAAAATGCAGTCATACCCGCAGATAAAAATATTTGAGAGCAGGTGAATGAATTATTTTTACAGAAAACATTCTGGAAATAATTTTATAATTATTTGAAGTTTTTTATGCAATTATTACTGAATAAATTCGCGCGCTTCCTGGGAATAAATATAATTATGACAGTACGAATGTTTAATGGATAAAATGTCGTTAGAGCGAGTGAAATTTCCAGGTTGTCAACCAGTCCCACCGGATCGTCAATCTTATATGGTAATTGTAATTACGTAACGAGCGATAAAAATCGGTAAAACCTGTGCTTGCGACAGAATTTCACGTGAAACTCCTCGCAGAATTGTTGTTCCCAATTATTCTTTGTTTAATTAAATTATAAACTCAAGCTTTTGATGGACGCTCTATCGTTGTTGATATTGTCGTGACATCGCTGGAGTTTATCAGACATTTTTTAAAATATTTCGAGCAGAATGGAATTAATGTTGGATGATCGCAATTCCGACAGGCAGCCGCTAGATGTGAACAGCATTTTGAGCTTTCACGACAGCAAGACGCCCACATATCTGGTCCAGCAATTGCACAGCTATAGCAGTAACAATCCCCTAAAAAAACATTAAAAAAACTCTTGAAATCATTTTGCAATGACTCAGACTGTTTTCAAATGCAATTACTAAATCGATTACCAAATCACATGACACGTTTGAATAAAAATCCAAAATAGTCGGGAGCTAATTAAATAATAACTAATTATATTAGTAATTATTGAGATAAAAAGAAATTAATGAAAAATTAGAGGAAGTGAAAGGGTTGAAGAGAGATCTGTCGTCTGTAAATAATATTTTGGTATTTTCTATTCGAAAGGCGAAAAAGAAAATGTCAATTTATTATTTTGAGATTATGGCGTAATTAATGCTATTTTCAATTCAATTACGATTGCAGGACGATTGGATAACTGGAGTGATTGGATAACCGGTGAATAAAGAACGAAAAATTTCGTAATTCCCGTTAGTGAATTCCATCAGTGTCAAGTGGAATTCTTTTCCCTCCGTCGATTTATTTTTACTTATTTCAAATACGAGCATTTATAGTCACAATAAATGATTATCATGGGAGTGGCTCAATTGTCAAGGACAGAGTATTGTATATATCCGGAAAATCCACGGTTTTTCATAATTACCGGAAGTCACTACTAGAATTTGTATTTTTATGCAATTTTACCTAATTAATCACCTGTTGAAGGTAAAAAATCATCATTCTTATTTTATTTTCAGTTTTTTAAACTTTCATTTCAATTCGGTGATGAGTAATTGCAGGAGAAAGCGTGAGAGATTGACGGAAAAAATTGTTCTGCGAAAACAATAAGATTTAAAAAAAAAGTAAAATGGAAAAATTTGGTTTTTTGGTTGTTGTTTGATTGGAAATATTGTTAAAATGTTTAATTACCACTTGGACATTCAACAGATCGTCTGGCCTCAGCTCTTCTGCAGTCCAAACCTTCTTCACCTTTTGGACAAGCAGTTATCCCCTCGTCAATTGAATTTTCACCCAAAATTTCATCAACTCTGCTGAACGCCCCAGGTCGGGCGAATAATTTCACCAATTTCTCCAGAGTACTTTCCCCACTGTCCTCCATTATCCTGCTATTTTCCGAATAACAGGTAAACACATTAAGGATGAGTAGACAAAACACGAGTATCAAACCGTGAAGATGCATTTCCGGTTTACCAATGTTTCCCGATTGAGTACGTTATTGCTACTGACGGTGATTTGTCACTCTTTATAGTTTTGGAGGGGGAATTTATTCAATCGAATGTCCCGCTCGAGATTTTCCAACAGGTGCACCAATTGCCAATTCAATTGGTAAAACTGAGTGCAAAATTGAGGAAAATATTTGAAAATATTCTCTCAGAAAAATATATTAAAAAAGTAATCCTATTTGTTTACAACAAAAAATTGTTGCTCTTATCGACTTTCATTTACAACAATCGAAATATTTAAAATATTTATTTTTTTTTATATATAATATTTTATTATAATACTAAATATTAAATTTCGAGAAGTCCAAATTTTTATTTCGATTTTTTAAGTTGTATAATTACTCTTGTAATTTATTCTACGATTTTAATCAATTTTTTTCTGTTCAATTGTTCGTACTTTGAAATATTCCCGCCAGTAGTGATCCCCCACTCCAGCTAGTGATGTCTAGTGATGTGTTTCTCCAATGGCGGCGGGAAATTACAGCTCATCGGCCATTTCTTTTCCGGATTCCAAGGTGAGTACTTCTCAGAACGATTCGGTTAATTAAAAAAGTTAATCTGTAGAATATTAATTAAATATTAATGATTATATTTCGATTATAATCAATTGCTTGTAATAAAGGATAGAATGGGAATGGAATAGATTCCAGAGGAAATGGAATCCTCTGAGGAAAATGTGGGCCACGTGGCGAAGCTTCTCACATCAGAAGAATTTGAGAAAATGAAGGCTCAGGATTCGAGACTAGTTTCTGAACGTTGCGCAATTTTGCTGGAGAAAGAAGCAAAAAAACACTGGGATCTGTTTTACAAAAGGAATACCACGAATTTCTTCAAGGATCGACACTGGACCACTCGGGAATTCCAAGAATTGTTGGACGTTGGAAGTATCGATAATGGATGCCTCATTGAAGTTGGATGTGGCGTCGGAAATTTGATTTATCCTTTACTAGAAGATGGGCTGAGGTTTAAAAAAATTTATGCCTGTGACCTGTCCCCCAGAGCTGTGAATTTCATCAAGGTATATTTAATTTCTTGAATTTTACGTAATTTCAAGGTTACTTCAATGGTATAACTATTTTTTTTTTGTAAAATTTGTGGATTAAACTTTTTCAGAATTCCCATTATTCACGGGAATTTCTGAATTGCAATTTCTAATTTCAGAATATTCTAGAGAAAGATAAAAAATCAATATGAAATTAATTAAATAATTTTGCTGATAGAGTTGAAGGTTGAAATGATGTTGAACTGTTTTCTATTTACTTTTTCAGGAGCATAAACTTTTTGATCCGAAAATCATGACAGCTTTTCAGGCAGATGTTACAACGGATGATTGTTTTTCTGATATACATGACAGTATTGACGTAGCCACTCTAATTTTCGTTTTATCTGCAATTCATCCCCAAAAATTTCAAAGGTAATGACTTTGGATTCATTATTTTTTCACATTTACATTGTCTTTTTATTTTTATCGTACCAATGATCAATGAAATTTCAGTGTAGCCAAGAATCTTTTTAAAATCATCAAAAGCGGAGGAACAGTTTTATTCCGAGATTACGGACTCTACGACATGGCACAGCTGAGATTCAAACCCGGTCACAAAATTGCAGATAATTTCTACATGAGACAAGACGGCACAAGGTAATGATTTCCCAACGAAATTGTCCATAATATTGACTTATAATTAATGCTGACATCTGTTTTCCAGGAGCTACTACTTTTCGACTTCAGAAGTTGAAAAAATATTCACAACCTCTGGATTTTATGTGGTAAATTGTACATATGTTCAAAGACGAACCACAAATGTGAAGGAGGGGATTGATTTACCCAGAATATTCGTTCAAGCTACATTCAAAAAGCCTTGAACCTCCATGAAGACAAGTACGTATTCATTTAGAGAACTTCAAAGTAATTAATACTTAAGTTTAATTAAAATTGTATACAGTCTTTTTTTTGTAATTTACTCATGATGATTTCATAGTTCAGCTGAGAATCTTTGATGTTATGCTGTAGCAATGTCTTTCGCTCCTATCTGATTTATTTATGAATTTGTATATATTTATTATGCGATCATCAACAAAATATTTGATAATGTAATTTGTTGTTACAGAATGGAGGGAATTCTCATGATTGAAAACTGCAAATGTATTGAATACAAAATTGGATTTTTGTATTAAAAATAATACATGCGTAAAAAAGGTATTCATATATATTAATATTTCAAATTTTTAATAAACATTAACGTCTTTTTTTTATATTTTTAAATGATGATTTCATAGTTCAACTGATAAACATTGATGTACACACATAGCAATGTCTTTCGCTCCTATCTGACAAATTAAAACTCATTATTGCTCTCATTAATTCAAGTTATGAAAAATTTCATGATGTATTCAAATTATTTCCAGGACCATCCGCCAATCGATGAATTATATCAAGGGCTTTAAGAGAAGGAAAAAGGAATTGAAGGTATGAATCATTACATTTAATCATAATTTATCGAAGTCATTGTAATCCATCGAACAATTTTTTTTGATTACACACTCAATTCAAAAGATATTAATTCTCGTAATTTAAGTAATTCAATAATTCAAATGTTCGATGTGATTTGCATTAATTTATTATATTTTGTCATTATGCAATGATGTATTCATTAATATTGAATCTATATGTGTAAAATCTTATGTTTCGTCACTACCACTGAGTTTGAATCTCTAATTAAAATAATTATCTCTCCAAATTATCACGAATTCATTGATAAATAAATAATTTCCAGACGCTGATGGGTAATCCGGACACGCTACGCATACTGGGTGAATAATGGTAATGAATTACGTTATAAATGTTTTTAAATTTTTCTCAATTCAAATATAAATGATGAAAGATACGTCTGAATCTATCATGATTATTCAATTATTAGCTCTAACTGATTCACTAAATTATTCATAATTATTTTGTAGATGTAATTGGGCAGATTAACAATTAGAAAAAAATTTTCTCTTCCAGATGAAGATATTCCGGTCCATGGGATGCAGGTGATGAGTCATTAAAACTTCCTCGATTCAAATATTTGTAATTCTTCGTTCATAGATACCTGGACAAATAAATAAGTAACGAAATTCGAATATTTTAATTCGAATTTAATTAATTATGATTACGCAAAACAATAGAATCAGAATTTCAAAAACAATCCGATTGTTTCCGCCATTTTGTGGTCTGCCTTTCTGAGAATCCAAATGGCGGAAAAAATCTGACAAATCTTTAATTATTGAGACCTTGCTATAATGTCCTCTATTCTTAAAAAATCCAAAAGAATTTTGGTAAAACCGCCATTTAATAATTCATGTTTCAATTTTCAATTCTCCGAAAATTGGAACTAGAAAATTTGAATCCCTCCAAAATCCTCAAAGCCCAAGGAAAACATTTTTTCTAATACTTTTTCAAGACAAATTCATATCCCGCTGCTGAAAATTGGATTTTGTATTAAAATTCATACTCAATAAAAAACAATTCAATTTTTTTCGCTGATATACATTTCATGATAGAGAATATCAATTATATTTTATAACTACAACCATTTCGAATGGAAAACTCCCGCGCAGTTTAAAGATCTTTTCACGATAACAAAAAATTCTAAAAAAAAAATGATTTCCAAATTCCACTGAACCTTTCCCCAAACCAACACATCCCAATTATTCTCCACATACCCTTAACACACACATCCCCGACATCTTGCAGATTTCTACTCTTCAACTGCATACCCCCCCGTCAGACGTCGCTCCATGTCTCACCCCCTCACCCCCTCGAAAGATGAAACAGAATTCCCCGAATATATAAAATAAATTAAAAAAACTGGTCATCCACATATCTATAGAGAAAGAAATAGTTGCCGAAGTATCTTGGTTAGCATGGAGTGGATATGAGAGAAGAGAGTAATTTTGTTGGACGATCCGTTACATGCATATACAGTGTGAAAAAAAAGTCAGTGGCGCCTGCGATAAATACCTAAAGCCCAGACAGAAAAAAGGGGGCGACAGAGGGGAGGGGCTCAGGGGGTGGACGAAGGTACATGGTGGATAATGGGTTGATGGTGGGGATTGTTGCTCTGTGCTTGGACTCTGGTAGTGTTGGGTTGTGTGGTGCACGCGAGTGTTGTACGAGCCTTTGGTCGCCGGGGATTGACACAATAGGAGAAATATTTCGGCCTCAAATGAATAACCAATCAGTCATAATAAACGAACTATCACAATCTCCAGTGTCTATCAGTGATGATAATCAGGTACTGAGGAAATTCAACTCACTCGCTGTACCTTATACCGTGAATTTTTTATTATTCTGAGACATTTGGATAACACGTTTATTTGGAGAATTGAGTGCAACCGACCCGGTTTCACTCGGCTTATTTCTCTTTTTATTTCTTTATATTTTTTTTGTTTATTTTTTTTTATCTACGAGTTGATCTTTTTTGTGGCGTTTTTATTAATGCTCCTGATTGACAAGCCAAACCTCAATTTGAGCGGATGCTCCTCATCAAGAGCCAGGACAATTCGTAGAGTCAGGAATAAATTAAATTGGTGATAATGAATGGTCATTTGTCCATGATTTACTCATTATAAACAATTAGCAATCTGTCTACTTCACTCCATCATTTGGAATTAAATACTTTTAACATCTTCAATCTGCCTTCTGGCACGATATTTTTGGGATAGATGTCACATTATCGTGGCTCGTACAGTTCTCAACGTATCTGGCAGTGTGGGTTATTTATTATAATGTGTTGGTGTGCAAACTCAGTATTGGTCATCTAAATGTATGTGTGTGGGTGTCTGTAGAGTTAAAGTCATCGAATGTGTTGATGATATCTCAAAAGTATGTCTGAAATGTCTCATGATGTTTTCTGTGTGCGTGTGATGCGTGTAAAAGCCCGTGACGATTTTCTTTTTCTCCTGAGAATTTTTCGATGTGTTGGATCTCTTGCTTCTTGCCTCTTGCCTCTTGCCTCTTGCCTCTTTCCTCTTGCCTCTTGCCTCTTGCCTCTTGCCTCTTGCCAGTTTGTACATTAATGGCAAATAGGTGGGAGTAAGAGAGAAAATGGCGAGCTTATTTGATTTGCGGTGTGCGTTGTGCCCTCGAAGCTGCTCACGCACGTGCCCCCCTCCTTTACATGTTACATTTTATCTTGCTTCAGTTTAGGGGATTTCACTTGCTTTTATATATCCCCTCTCACCCCCTCGCTCTATATATACATATATATATATATATTTGTCTTTTTCTTTCTCTCCGTCGTTACCAACTGCGACCGTGACGCCTGTATGTCGCGGAGGATACTTTGACTCTGTTGCGCACTGTCAGTGACTTTCTTCGAGAATATTTTGACAAGATCTTCTTTTTATTTATATCATCATTGTGAGAGCCCCTAAAAACTCGAATGTTCATTAGGTTCGGATGGAATCATCTCGTTGAAATAGATATGTCGGGTAATGAGATGTAATGTTGCGAGGAAAAGTGCAGGAAGGAAAAAAGGAAAAGAGGAAACGAGGAAAAGAGGAAAATAGGAAAAGAAGAAAAGAGGAAAATAGGAAAAAAGGAAAAAGGATATGTGAATTGCGGTGAGAAAATCATTCTCGTATTTGCTCTCTCGATTGGATGTTCAACAGGATTATGCGAGTTATGAGTAGTTTTTGGTATGAGCTCTGTGATTTTTGTTTTTAGGGTGCCGGTAATTGCAGCGATTTTGATAGAGTGGAAATTGCTTTTAGGTGGTGCTCAGAAATCAGTGAGGATTCAATGAAATAATTATGTATTGGAAATTTGGAGAACATCATGTTGTCGTAGTCCAATTGATAAGGCAAACACGCAAAGGGGAGTCGATTATATAGAATCAATTGAATTCAATTCGAAATGCTAGTCGTTCGAGTTAGAGTTCTGCTCCAAAATATCTCTGGAGTGTGTCATGAGTACGATAGGACAATCGACACGTACACGTGTCGTCGACAGTCACATTATTTTTCTTATTATGAAGTTGTGGAGATTTCCTTGGTGATGACTTCCTCGAGTGACTCCCCTTCTTCAGGTTCTCGATTTGAGAATCATCACATTCATCCAGATTTATAAAAAAATATTTAATAGTTTGGAGATGAATTTTTGATTCAATGTCTCGGTGTTGGGAATTTAATAATTATTTTGCATCGCTGTTTGTGCACAAAGAATTAAAAACACGTGAGGGACTTGTTGATATCAGTGCTGCGCACTGTCAACACTATATTACCTACCTACCGTTTTATGAGTCAGTGTCAGATTACGTTTTGTGATGCTTGACACTTTATTGGTGAAGTCGATATTGCATCACGTTCCAACAAATTCAGTACTCTTGTGCCAGTGTCACATGTTAATAATCATTTGCCATGGTCAGCTTGAAGCTACTGATCAAATAAAACTAATGATTATCCATTGGATTGAAAAAAAGAATTAATGAAAGAATTTTAAAAATGTGATAAATCAATTTTTATTGTCGAAATGAATTTTTCTAGCGAAAAAATTAAAAAGTTTTCGTTTCGTCAGTGGAAAAATCATTGAGAGCACATATCTGATCGACCAATGGGATTTATCATTTTTTTTATTGAGTGGCATACAAAAATTCAGAATCCAGTCGAGCTCGTTGTTTTTTAATTATTCTAGTAAATAATCGAGAAATGGAAAAAATAATCAAGAATCTAGGAAATCTTTGCTATTTATCTGCGATATTATAATTATTTTTTTGCATTTGTAGGTTGATCTGAGGCAGGATACTATGAGAGAATGAATCCAATGAGTAATCGGATTGAGACTGAAATTCAATTTCCAGTTTATAGTTCGTGTTGAATGTGGACAAATGTGATCATGCATTCATCTATTATACCAATAGGTCCGCAATAATCAAGATTTAAATTCTCTGCATTATTCTCTGGTAAAAATTGAAGATGTTCAGTAGTAAATCGTCATTCAAGGGACAGGACATCTGGCCATTCATAAATATTATCTCGATGGAGCAAAGATTATGCCACAAACAGGAGTTTTCATGAGAATCCCGTCTTCCTTTGATTCGTTAATATTTTCCAATCGAGAATATCCAAATATCTTTGGTATTTTTATTTTTTTTTCAAGCCTAGCTCGTATATTTCACTGATTGTTTCAAAATCATTCTGAATTGTTGAATGTTAAAAACTCTGAGTGAAAATTGTAATTAAAATTCGAAAGAAGAATTTTATTTTTCAATCAGTAGACACATGAAAAAAATTGCAAATCTCTGAATCCAAGTCCCTAGATAGAATTCAATGTAATTTATGTTTATCATCGCACAAAAATTGATTACATCTGAATACTAATTAATTACAGGATATTTTACAGATTCCAAAGGTCCCCTCAACAATAACAGTACTTTAGCACTCGATTGTCCGACACTCTCATGGATTTTGGTTGAGGATAGAATACAAATCAATGCAAAAATTAATTAAAACATTAACTTGGACATAAAAGAAAAAAAAAATTATAATATCGTAAAATAATCAGAGTTCCATCACAAATCAGGTGATTATTGATTTGCAATTAATGGTATTGATGATATATTGAATAATTAATCTGGGGCTAAGTGATAGAATCAATAGCGTGTGGTGGAATTGATAATTGAAGTGAATGAGTGGAGTTCACAGATTACCCAGAGAGAGAAAAAAGAAAATACATTCAAGAGACAAGTGATCTCGTGCAATGCCGAGATGCTGCAATGATAATAAAGCAGTGAGCCCGGTGAGCACCAATAAAAAACGTACTGAAGATATTGTGCTCACGCCCAGTCGTTTTCCCATTGGTAATCCTTTGGAATTTGATATTAATAATCGTCCACTGCTGGAAAAATCCCACAGGAGATTACGTTGTGATCTCAGTCCAGTTCCAACTAATTCAAACGGAAGTCTCAGCATCAAGTTCCTTGGCTTGAAGGTACTATTTGTATTTGAAAAAATATCATTGTTGACTTTTAACGATGATACTCTCAAATCCTTTTATAGCTGAGATTATTATTTTCTTTTGTTTATTTATATTGGCGTGTTCTTCATATGATTTAACAATTAAGAGGAACCTCAATCCCAAATGGATTTGGGTCAAATTAAAAATGGTCATTCATTGAATAATTATTTCGGAAAAAAGAAAATTGCCCGTCATTTTTATTTTTATTTTTATTGCAGGATAATTTTGATTATTCTGGGATAATATAATTCTAATTGCACATGAAAAAATCTTAAAAAAAAAAAAATTGATTGGAGGATATTTCGTCTCGAAATCTTGTAAATTCTAGAAAATTAATTTCTTTTCTTTTTTTTCAATAGGCTGATAAAGGTCACCGCCAAGATCATCAGGTGAGCTCAGGTGGTGGAAGCTGCAGAGGCCGAGAAAAAGAACCAAAAAAACGTGCAGCTATAGGCAACGCAGTGCGAGGACTCTTTCCCTCTGGCCACACCAGACAGGACAGGTATAATGATGTCTGTATCAAACTTCATGGCTTCTTACATTGAAAAATACCAAAAGAAATTATTCATTTTTTTTATCTCTCGAGTATTATCACTTTCTTGTATAAATCGGTTCTGCATCAATTTATTTTATTTCAATTCTTCTATTAATTTACAATTCATTGACAGCCCTGTCGTTTCGTGAAACATTAGAATTTCGGTTTGAACATTTTATTACATCAAAGATATATATATATTGAGAGAACAAATTCATTATTAAATCAATATTTATTCAAACAAATTATTTTTTTTTTAATTCTTCAAATCAGTTCACTATAAAAACATTAATTGCCAGTCATTAATTGTACCCCGTCAATTTTTATTGGTTTTTTAAATTTCTGAGATTTTCGTCCGAAATTATTCACTCATTGAATTATTGATTTGAATTTGAACTCGTTGGCTTAAAATATTTATTATTAATAATTTGGCTTTTTTGAATGAACAAATTTTCCTTTTTGTTTGAGATTTTCAATTTTCAAATTTTTCATTACCTGTGGAATTTTCAAGAAAAAAAATTGACTTGTGGACATTTACTTTCAAACATTTTCAATTTCTTGAGTTTTCATCATTTTCCATTAGGTCAACGTCTTTAAATTTTCCACTAGCCTCCGGCAATGTCCAAAAATTATTTCTGAAAGGCATTTCGAATGACTTCAAATTTTATTATATTGGAATCGTAAATTACGGAGATAGAAGAATAAGTATTGACTGAATATTGAAATGTTCCATTCTCCTTCAGATTTTATGTAATAAATCCTCTTTATTTCAGAATAACAATGCTGATATATACATAAACAATAATGGAATGCAAATATCGCAATAAACACTGCACTACATAATTCTCTTTTGTATACAAAAAAACATTTACAGTCTGAAAAACATTTCCAAAAATTGACCGACCGCCTGCGAATTTCCTCTCATATATTTCCATAGAAATCCCCCTAAAACCATTCTTCCTTGCGAAGTACCTGGAGTATTTCATTATTTTCTACGAATATTTGTCTCCAATGCGTACAATACGCACTTACCCTTGCAACAGTTTCGTCTTAACGTCCACGTGAATAATGGTTTTCCGATTACTTGGCTCGTAAATTGACTTACCTAGAAGCCAACCCTCGAGAAGGTAACGAAATAAACTCTAAAACTTCTTGCAGGTATGAGACAACAAAACAGCGTGCGTCGGGGGGAACAGGGGGTGTGGGTCTGTCCGGCTTATGCCCAAAACTCCTGGCCAGTAGTAACGTCAGCACCGATACCGATACCCAGAGCGGCATTACCTTGGGGGTGGGCCACATAGCCAATACTGACCCGACAAATAGTTGCGGCGTCATTACAACCCAGCGTAATCACCGTCGCCAGCGCAAAATCGGCATAATAAATCCGTCAGGAAGTGGTGGTACTGGTGACAGTAAGAATTCAAATCGTAATTCAAATAAAAAACAATTAAGAAGAGAGACTGTGGAGTCCACGTTAATTACAAATGGTTTGGCGTCATCAAAAAAACAATCTCCATTGGTGAATCAGGATCAAACAAGTGATACCGGTTGTAGCGATGTGGAAGAGGTATCATCAACTAGTGAAGCTATGTCCAGAATACCCAGTTTCAGTTCAACACCGCCCACGCCAATTGATCTAGTTAAATCTAGAAAAGTAAGTACTGAAGAGGAAACTGTGGATAGAGTATCCCCAATGGACTCGGATTCACGATTGATTGATGAGAATCTAATAAGAAAATCAAACTCCTCCCAAGAGCGACATTCAGACACCCTGGAATGTACCAAAACGTCGACTCCAGTTCGAAAAATTTCCTTCAAAACACTCGATGGCGACAATAAACGCTCGAAAACAATTTCGAATTACTCTCGATCAATGGACACCGATAAACAGCCGTCATCCATTACAAAACAAGAAACAAAAATCAAGAATGAGACTAAAGAGAAACGAAAAACCTCCGTAGATACAACATCGCAGATTCCAAAGCGAAAGATTTCGAGTGAAGCGACAGAAACTGATTCATCAAAAAAATCCTTATCATCGTCATCGAGAAACGACGATCAAGTCAATGATGGAACTGAAAAATTCAAATTTTCAACGATGAAGAACATGAGATTTATGATGGCTGATGTAACGGGTGAATCAGCGATGACTGGAAAAGAAGAAGAGGCGAAAGATATTTCCTCTATTGATGTTACATCAATTGACGTGGAGGAAACAGTGACAATATACGAGGATGACAATGGTACGAGTATAAGTGATATTGTAGCAGCTCAAGCACTTCGAGAATCCTTGAGTAAACTTGGTAAAGTTCCTCCACTCGATACTGAACAAGAATCAGAATTAGAACTTCCTCAAGTATCAAAATCCATCGATCCCATAATGAATACAAGAAAAACTGAATCGGAAATTATTCACAATGATCAGAAGGATACATCTGTCCAGGAAGAGACTGTTGAGGGATTCATAGGTCCACTATTAGACGAAAATTTTAAGGCTGATGCCACTAAATTGACTCAAGAGACAATGACCATGGAGGATGTAAGGAATTTAATGATGAAAGTTAAGGTGCAGACTGTTGAAGACGATGGTGATGACGAAAAGGCAATTGGTATCTCTCCAGACGAGAGATTCTTAAAATTTGAGGAAGAAATTGGTCGAGGAAGTTTCAAGACTGTTTATCGTGGTCTGGATACTCAGACTGGAGTTGCTGTAGCCTGGTGTGAACTTCAGGAGAAAAAACTTAATAAAACAGAGCGATTGAGATTTCGAGAAGAGGCAGAGATGTTAAAGGGACTTCAGCATCCCAATATCGTACGCTTCTATGACTACTGGGAAGTCACTCTAACTCGTAGAAAATACATTGTTCTTGTGACTGAGTTAATGACGTCAGGTACTCTCAAAACATACCTTAGGCGCTTTAAAAAATTGAGCCCCAAAGTCGTTAAATCATGGTGTCGACAAATATTAAAAGGTCTAGCTTTTCTTCACTCTCGATCACCTCCAATAATCCACCGAGACCTCAAATGCGACAACATCTTCATCACAGGACCAACTGGTCATGTAAAAATCGGTGACTTAGGCTTGGCAACATTGAAAAACCGTAGCTTTGCGAAGAGTGTAATAGGAACACCCGAATTCATGGCACCGGAGATGTACGAGGAACACTATGACGAGTCAGTGGACGTTTATGCCTTTGGCATGTGCATGTTGGAGATGGCAACGAGTGAATATCCATACTCGGAGTGTACTGGACCAGCTCAAATCTATAAACGTGTAGTCTCTGGTGTGAAACCTCTCTCTTACGACAAAGTAGAGAATCCCGAGGTTCGTGAGATTATAGAAATGTGCATAAGACTAAAGAAAGAAGAGAGGCCACTTGTCAAGGATTTATTGAACCACGAATTTTTCGCTGAGGACGTTGGACTGAAATTGGAAATGGTATCACGTGATACTGCAGTTGCTGATACCGAATTATCACGCGTTGAGTTTAGATTACGTGTTTTGGATCCAAAGAAACGTAGTAATAAGCATAAAGAGAATGAAGCCATTCAATTTGACTTTGATATTCAATCCGATAATGCTGAGGAAGTAGCACTTGAGATGGCTAAATCAAGTTTGATACTTGAAGAAGATGCGAAGGTTGTAACGAAGATGTTGAAATCACAAATTGCTGGATTACTTCGTGATCGTGAAGATAGAAAATCCAAGGAGGAGAAGGAACGTCTGGACAGAGAAGCTGTTGTAGATAATCCCCCTAATTTATTGCAACAGGTGCAGGTGCAGCAGATACAACCTCAACAGCAGATGCAACAGCAGAATCAACCGCAGCAACAGTCACAGCAGTCTTCACAGTCGCAGCTGCAATCTCAATTGCAACCACAGCTGCAGGTACAGCAACAGACTCAGCAGATTCAGCCACAACAGCAGCAGCAGCAGCAGCAGCATCACCACCATCATCACCACCAACAACAGCATCATCAACAGCAACAACAGCAGCAGCAACAGCAGCAGCAGCAGCTGAGTATGCAAATGCAAGGACATATTCAGATGCAACCCCAGATCCAAGCATCAATGCAGTCTCAGATTCCCCAACAACCTCAGACAATTCCTGCAAACACTCAGCAGAGCATGCAACAATCGTTGCAACAGAATATGCAACCACAGCAGGTGCAGATGGTTCAGCAGCAGGCAATGATGACACAACAGACAACAGCCGTTGTACAGCCTCAACAAGCTCAGCAAATGGCGCAAGTTGGTGCAGGAAGTCAGCCTCAGGTATATCAACAAATTCAGTATCCAACACAGGGCCAACAACCGCCACAGTACACCCAGCAGATTGCCCAGGCGTTGAGTGCAAATACATCTCAGTGCTCAACACCACAGACTATTCAGGGACCACCTCAATTCCCTCAGATCATTCAAACTGGTGTTTCACAGCAGGCACATGTCCAGCAGCAACAGCAGTATGTACAAATTAATCAGATGTCTGTACAGCAGCCGGGACAGGTACAATCTCAGATACAGTTGAATCAACCTCAACAGCAGGTTCAGCAGGTTCAGCAGGTACAACAGGTTCAGCAGGTTCAACAGGTTCAGCAGGTTCAACAAGTTCAGCAAATTCTTCAGCAAGGTCAAACTCACATGCAGTACGCACAGGGACAGATGCAACAACCACAATTATCTCATCAAATAATATCGAATCAGATGAATCCAACGCCAATACAGGTACAGCAGCAGTACTATCAGCAAGGTGCTACTATTTATCAACAGAATATTCAACAGCAAGTGTATCATTATCCCAGCAATTCCAACGCTCCGACTCACTGCAATACCAATCAATCGACGTCTCAAACGTATGTGCAAGTATCGAACACTCCTGTGCACGTGACACCGTCCCAGGGATTTGTTCAAACCAGTCAGTCTCAGCCTCTTGGTCTGACCAGTGTTCAGAACAATCAGGCAACTGGACAATTATCTAATACCGTGCAGAACCAAAATATTACCACCGGACAGGCACAAGTGATGATGCAAATGCAGTATACACAGGCTAATCAAATTCAAGGGAGTAATCCTAACATAATTCCTACACAGCAGAGTATTCAACCTCAACAGGCTCAAATACAATCACACATGCAGACTCAAGTTCAGGCGCAGTCTCAGGTCCAAGCTCAAGTCCAACAACAAGTTCAATCTCAATCCCAAATTCAGCTTCAGGAAGCTATTAAAATGACTTCCTCCCAGGGTTCATTGACAAAACAAGATACAATGGAATCTGTTACTTCTTTGACGTTTGATGGATCGCAAAATCTTCAGCAGGAGCAATCAGGATCTTCAGCCCCATACGACAATCAATCTGAGAACTCGGAGAGTGTTGCTGCACCAGAGAGAAGTAGAGTCAAACGATCAGGCACTAAAAGGAAGAAACCGGGAATTAAGTTGACGGTTTTATCGGTGAGCAATGCAGAGAGCCAGTCCATGACTGTTGAATGCCAGTTGGATACTAGTAAACAGAAAACTGTTACGTTCAAGTTTGATAGAGATGATATGGTGCCATTGGATATTGCTAATAAATTGATTGCTGAGAATTTGTTGCCTCAGACACAGTGTGAGACGTTTACGGAGCTGATTGAGGACATTGTGAAGCAATTGAGATTGGATCCTTCTAGGAGCTTGCCTCTGGTGGCTCACGGACCCCCGGATCAATCAGCTGGTGGCAGTCCAGTGACCAGTCGGAGACCTAGAGATAGAGATCACAGTCTCGACCCATCGAAGGTAAACTTGGCTTTTATTTTTTATTATTATTTGTCTTTTAAATCATTACTGGGAGGGTTAAGGTATCACTGATCCTTCTATCTATTTCTCTCTTTAACTTCAAGCATAAAATCATGAAGCAAACTAATTCCATCAATTTCTCCACAAATTCTTGAAGATCTATCCGCTTCAGAAATAAACAGAAATGAGGGACATTGGGTCTCTTTAAATTGTCGGGTACATTTGTACTCACATTTTCTTTTCGACGTTCGAAATTCATTGAGTTTCGACACATGTCTAGATTAATCATAAATTATTCTTTTAATTGGGTATACAAAAACCCTGTATGTCATTTTTGGAACGCAGCAGGTCAGACATGGTTCACTGACTCGTCAGAGCAGCCATCGATCTTCCTACAAAGCTCATCGTAGGCATCGATCGGTGAGTTTTCAAGCTCCCCTATTCCAGATTTTCCTCCTTCAATCTTGAGGTTTTTTATGTTCTTCTGAGTGTATGTTTATTTATAATCTCGTCAAGTTTTTATTATTTGATTTCTCCACAAGATTTTTTTCCCCTATGCAATTTTTTGTGCAATTTATCGATTTGAATGAAGGTTTTATATTGCTTTTCGTTTCCTCAAAAATGTCTTCTCTAATTTTTTTATTCTTCATTTCTGCGATACATTTCAGTCGGTTAATTTTCTTGGATCTCGAATTCTCTGTCTTTCTCATTTTAATACGATATCAGATCGACGTTTTTATTTAATGATCTATTTAATAAGTTCTCTTGGTGAATATTAAAATCATAAATGGTCTTTTGCCATCCCAGGATTCACTCACTGATCATTTATTTCTACTGTTCTAACTATCAAAACAATTCAAAAATTAATAATGAGAGTTTTGATCAGTCACAGACTAGTTGTTAATCAAATGATTTTCTCAACGATGAGCAGGATTACGAGAAAAAAACTCAAAAAACATTATTTTTGTAGAAAAATCTCCAAATCCGTGGATTCTCCCCTGGATTTCTCTCATAGGTCCTATAGCTCCACTATGCAAGTCATAATTACTAATATTCTCCGTATCACCTTGAATTCTTTCATCACTTTGTTTTCGAACTATCTTGTATATTTTGGATTTATTCAATTTATTCAATTGACGATATTCCTATCCTTGCTATCACTGAACCCAAAAATTACGTTTTCTCGATTCTCTTTATTTATAATTTTAGAGAGACGAGACCTCGAACTCAGCTTCTTCAAAGATCCTTCCAATCGATCAAATAATGTCGCAAATAGGATCGACACAAGTGGATAAAACTCCAGCAAGTGTGACATCTTGTGAAGGTCCAAATACCACTGAAAATAGTACTTCAGAGGAAATTTCTCGACGTTCATCTACGTCAACCCAAAATACAGATACACTCACCCCAGTGAACGTTCCCAGTGATTCCAACGAGAACTACGAGAGCGTGGGGTCTGAGGAGACACTTCTAGAACCCAACAACAGTTCACTGGAGGATACTGGCGAGATCATCACAAGGCCCATGCTCCCCGTCACTGTAGACCAATCTCCAACAGCAAAAAAATCTGGAGAAGATGCCGCTCGTGAAATGAATCCACCCATAACATTGTCAACACTTCCTGATGATTCCCAGGAGTTTACATCAGAAGTTCCTGAAGAATTACTCTCAACATCAGAACCTAAATCGAAAATTCTACCCATGAGAAAAATTTCCAGGTTTCTGGTGAGTCCAGTGGCTGAACAGAAGACAATATCTGGGGATTTGGAGAACGTAACCGTCCATGAAAAAATTGCAACACCAGTCCAATCAATATTACTCCCACCCGTCGACAACATTCAGCATATTCAAAAACACGAGGTGGATGTAAAATCAATGGAGATACGATCTGGAGGTACTGAATTTATTCATCAAGACTCAGTGAATAATCAACAGATTAATCAATTAAAATCAATGCAACAGCTTAATCAGTTGTCAACTAAAACTGCAGTTGTTACGCAAACAAAACAAGAAACTGTAATGGTTGTTCAAACCACAAATTTATCTCAGAACCCGCAGCTAATTCAAAATATCCAGAACGTTCAGAATGTCCAGTATCATCAAAATAATGGAGTTGTGCAGCAAAATACTGGAATTATCCACCAAACTGGAATCCAAACAAATGACAGTGTTCCACATATTCAGAATGTTTCGAGTAAACAATATCAAACAGAAATATCACATACAATTCAACAAGTGACTCAACCAGATCAAGTGGTTCAGCAAAATCAAGTGCATCAGATAAACCAAATGATAGACATTAATCAAATGCAAATGCAGCCTCAAATATCTCAGAATATCCCTCAGCACATGATTCATGATCAGAATCAGACGAGTCAGCATCAGCAGCAAATGCAACAACATTTCGTTCAATCCATTCCCCAGCAGATGCAACCTCCACAGCAGAGTCAACCCGTTCAACAACAATACGTCATTCTTTCGGGTCCTATGGGTCAAATTCAAGGTAATAATGTTGAAGACTGGAGCAGAAGGGCTTCAAATATATCCACAGACTCCCAAGGGAATGTAGAAATCAATCCTCTTTCGAATCCACCAATATCTCATCCACAAAATGATCAATCGACTCCATTGTCTCACGAGCATCATTACCAGAATCTCCATCAGAACTTCCCTCAGACGATGCAGCCAACACTGCAGGATACTCCGAAAATTAAAGCAAAAGAGGTGTCATCAACTCTACCAGATCTTGCTCAGAACCTTGCTAATATTTTATCGAATCCAAAAACAAAGTCAACCACTCCACACAATGCTACACCTCACGATCCGTCAAACATTATTAATCAACCGACAACGTTGTCTACTCTACATTCAGAGCAATACTTCCAACCAATTCAACCTGAAGTACCTCAACAACTTCTCACGCAAGTACAACAGCAAAATTTTCAAATTCAACATCAAAATTTCCAAACTATTAATCATGGTCAAATGCAAATACATACGATTCAGCAGCAAACGCATTCTCAGCAGAGTGATATAAATAATATGCAGCAGCTGAATCATCTCCAGCAACAGCAGCACCAATCCCAAACATTGCTCCAACCTGTGGTTCAGTCTCAACAATCAGTCCCTCAGGAGAGCCAACAAATTCAAAATCAGGTGGAGATGAATTTGCTGAACCAGAATATAGTGGTAGGACAATGGGTTGTGCCAAACTATCCAGCGAATCAGAACATTCAGCACGTGATTCAACCAGTTCCAGTACAATATGTAAAACCGATTCAAAGTGTTGCCCAGCCTATTCAGCAAGTTCCATCCCAATTATCACAGGAGCATCAAGACATCCAGATGGATCAGCTCCAGCAGCACTTGCAATTGAGACTGCCCGATCACCATAAAACCGAGACAGATTCAGCGATTGATGTTGGCAGCATCAGCAGACGTACAAGCTCGGATTGTCAAATGATGTACGAGACAGATACAACTATTTCAAGTAGAGACATCACACCTGAGCATACGATAATGGAATCCTCAGACTCAGTTTATCACTCGTTGCCTCAAGCAATTGTCCAGAATCATTACAAGCTTAGCCAACAAAATTCATTGGATAAACCAGCGGAAATATCGAGCCCTGGTCCACAGACTATTGCTGATCTCCAGCAAAAACTATCACAACTGACTAGTCAACCCTCAGAATCACTTAACGTTGGCACTCCACCCATGAGTCATCCAGTAACACCCCATGGGCCTCCTGGAACTACATTATGCGATACGTATCCCCAATTGATCCAGAATAAAATAATTCCCAATGTCACAGCTATTCCATCACAAGTTCAACCACTGAGTCCATTATCACCTCAAGCAACTGTTCACTCTGGACAAATTCATGTGGAGCCAACTGCTGTCACAGGTACTCCCAATATTTCCAGCATGACTTGGAATGAAGATCAAGGTTCTCAGGCAATTATGAATACCCCTGACGCAGCTTCTACAGACAGTCCAATTCCATCAGGAGATACTGTCTCCAGTCCCAGTAAAGAAAATGTAAAAAATATCCGAGCTCCAAGACCTGGATCGAGGCTACAAGAATTGGAGCAAGAGCTTGCCAAGATTCATCATAAATGTACAGGGCTTCCTACATCTTCTCCACAGCCATTGACCCCTCCAATGGCTGGTGTACAAGGAATTCCTTCTCTAAATGCTCAGTTACCCTCGCAATCATCAGCCCAACCGCTTTTCACTTCAGTCGTTCCAGTATCTGCAATTCCAGTGGGCACCGTTGCACCGTGCATTGTCTCCAGTAATTCTGGATCCAACACGCCCGTTCACCTGGAGTTACACGGAGAAACAGCAGGGCAGAATCAGCCTGTGAGAAAAGTTTCAAGATTCATGGTATCTAAAGTGTCTGGACCACCGTCTGGAGAAGGATTAGTGGGAATTCAAGGGCAAATAGTTGATATTCAGAAGCAATCGATGATGCAGGATATGGGACATCATTACGTTGATGATTTCCAGCAGCAACCACCGGCAGTAGTCCTGCAAAGCCGAGAGGGTTCTATGCCCCCAGGATCATCGATTCAACTGGGATTATCTATTGAATTGGAAAAGGAAGAGAGAAAACAGTTGACTCCGAGTGATGAATATCAATTGTTGATTAAAAGACAGACCTTGGAGCTTGAGTGTTTGCAGAGGAGACACAGAGAGGAGCTTGAACGTTTCCAACAACATCAGCTTCAGTTGTTGATTCAGCAACAGCAGCAGGCAAGTGCCATTGCCCACCATCAGCATCATCCTCTTTTATATCACACTGTTGCTACCACTGTCCCATCGAGACCTCATGGTGTCGAAGATTATGTGATGTTTAGCACAGCTCCACAAGCCTCGTTCCGCCGAATCTCTGGTTATGTTCCAGATACTGAAGAAACTCTTCGATTAGCAACCCAGAAACTCAAGCAAGCCAGTCAACCCGCCTCTGGAATATCTCATGCTTATGTTATTCCTATTCCTGTTATGTCTGAGAGCTCTCACAAATCTTTTGCTATTCAGGAGAGTGAGTGCATTGGAAGCACTAATGGATCGACGATCAGTCATCCTGGGTACCAGTTCACTTCTATATTACCTGATGCAACCAATATGACGTCGGGAATTGGATCGATTATTCAGGCAACACCTGTATCGAATTCTGCAGGATCTTCAGGAGTTGGTGGTGCTGCTGGTGGTACTGGTTACGTACATTATCACGATTCACATTCTGCTAATTTTCAGACTTTCAGTTATACTCCCCATGGGGGATTTTTCCTGCCTCCTGGGTACAGACTAGTTTACGCACCTCCTGAGACTTCGCAATCGCAATCCCAACCGGAGACTCCGGCTACGCCGCATCATAGTGGTTCCCATAATGGGACACCACCTGGGGAGCCTCAGGGACATGAGAATTTACAGGGAAATAACAGTGAGCAGTGAAAATATTGGGGATAATGAGGTTCAATGGAGAATCGGAAATTTTCAATTTCAATATTCAAGAGTTGATCAAAAAATAATATGGCACGTATTCTTATTCGCTTCAAAGATATTTGAATTAACTGATTCTGAAGAGAATGAATGTCATGCCCCGAAATTTCTATATTTTAATGCACATTTTATCTCGGAAATAATTGATTTAAAGAAAGCATGTCAAGAATTGTTTGTTTTTTTTTTAGCCACTTAAATTCTTCCACAGAGAATGTCATTCGCCATGATCTCGGAATGTTTTATGGAAATACACTCACGGAGAATAGTAAATCCCTACCAAAAATTGCTGTTTTATATTTTTAGGAATTCTGAAATATTAAAAAATGCGAAAATTTTTATTCGCAATTCGAACGTCGATCGATAATAAATTGAAAATTTTCCAATGTTCTTTCACTCCTAATTGATCATTGTTGCTGAGAGCAGTTCTTCTCAAATGTGCCACTGTTTAAAAAGAAAGAGACGAGAAAAAAAAACAATTAGAAAATCGGATCGCTGAGTAGAAATTAATGGATTGAATAAATTCATTGAAAGGACGAATTGCACAGAGAATTAATGAAGTAGAGAGAGAAACATAGATTTTAATTATATAAAAGAATTAGCTCGAAACGTTCGCACGTGATATATATATTTGTAATTGAATTGTGTGGAATGATTAAGTGTTGGCTTTAATGTCAGAAAAGAGAATCGAATGACGAGAATTTTCCAATTGTAAACGATTAATGAGTGAATTTGTCTGCTTTTTTTTTCTTTCGGTAAAACTGATAAATTAGTTTTTTTTTTTTCGTTTTCAATTGAAAGAAGGTATGATTCATGATTTGTGCAGGCCTCAACTAGTCCTTACGATCGAAATGGCTTATGAACAATTCGCCATTATCCTCGGAGAAAAAAAAAAAATGTAAGTGTAAAAGTGTTTTTAAATAATGAGATAATGAGTGCTTGATAGATTTCGTTTATCTTGAGAGCTAATTAAAGATGTACGAATGACCATAATGTTTTTTTTTATGAGTGCGAGATGAATGAATGTATGAGGACGATTAAATATAGTCACTGTTATGCTTTAATGTATTTTCTAGCAATTTTAAAAATTACTTCAATTAAAGAAAACCAATAAGATGTGTTACTAGTTAGATATACCCATATTTTCGCTCCTTTATTACATACTATACTGAATTGTATGACCTTTTTTCCTTCTTTTTTTTATGGTTCGCTGGTCCGATGAATGCAGCTGTGAAAACGAATTAAACACGAATTAAAAATGGCAATAGGATAATCCTCTAGAATTTCCGATATGAATTTTTCCAATGAGAGAATTCCAAAGTATTCTACAGATAATGTGATTTTATATTAAAAAAAAACCAGTTAAAAATATTGAGGCGATATTCATGTTCTATTTTTCAATATTCTGAATCGAAACTACTTTTTATTTATATATATTTTATTGTGCTTGTTTATAATAATGAAAATGTCGTGATGGTTTAGGAAAATTCGTGTCCATAATTCGGATAACTTTTTCTGTAGAATATGTCAGAAATTCTTCATGAGATTGTCCTATAGAAATTTTTATAGGGAATTCTAAAGATTTTATGAATTCTGATGATGTGGGGCCTGATGCAATGGCATTTTCCAACTTTAACAATCCACATTTTCCCTCAACAGAAAAATTCCATTAGAAGTATTATAGGGCCTTACTTTGCAGATAAAAGATTTTTCAATTTCTCTGTAAATTTCAAATGTCTCTCCACCGAAGTTAATGTGCAATATGACACTCTCTTCCATTAGGTTTTGCAATTCCGTTGAATTGTTGATAAATATCCTCAATTCAATTCAACTAGAGTTTATCCATTTTAGTGAAAGCGTTTTTTTGTTCAGTTTTTGTTCTTTATGTTGAGTAATATTTTCATAATGTATTGTTTCTATCGTTTTCGGATATTTCTATTGAAAATTATTTTAATGTTCAGTTTAATCAATTTATTTAACTGTTTTATTGTGAATTTCATTCGGTCTTTTTATTTAATTTTTGTTCTGACTTTTAACTATTTATTATTTAAATCAGAAGAGCGACTATTGCCGTCATATTTTAGTTCTGGTCTTCGTAGGTAATAATTTCTACAAGATACAATTCACGTTCGTCCGAAAAAATGTGACTGAATCAAGACTGTTATTCTTATTTAATTTTGGGAATTTTAATAATTGTAGTGTTGTAATGGTAATAAAAAAAGCAGGTCGACCTTGATATGCGACAGATCATTCCTTCATGGATTATGAATATTTTTTCCCTCTCTCAATCAATTCCATTGACAACAAATAACGAAAGGTCCATGCCTATAGGAAAATTTAATTTTAGTAAAGACAATTTCTTCGCAAAAAGAAAATATTATACAACAAAATATTATATAAATATATAAAATTATAAAATATTAGAATTTACCGAATGTATCCAAATATTTCGGGACTTCCCCGTAAAGACGCGGGTTAAATTGTATTTTTTAAAAATTATTACTTTGTTCTCGAGTTGCAAAAAAATCTGCAACTTTCCATGCGGTTCTGGAATAAATGGGAGAAGCTCAAATTAAAAATTAACTAATAACTATACCAGTCCTTCTGTTGATTTTAAAAATATTTTTTAAACTCACTGCGAAGTATCAATTGTCTCTATCAATTTACCTGAAAATAAATCATTAAAATTAAACTTTGATATATATTTCGTAAATCTCTGATAAAAAAAAGCGTTAAAAAATATTACTAATAATAATTACTGATAATAATTAATGATAATGAAATTACTTTGTCTTCTCCGTTCTTCGAGTAAATCGAATTCACTTCAAGGTCGAAATATACATTGTATAAAATGACGTAAAATATACATCTTAGTTTATTCTATCTAGTTACAAAAAATTCATAATTATTTATTATAAATTATGAGGTTTATCCGGCGTATAAAATTGTAGATCGATGCTTATACTTTATTTTCGACTCTATATCCTTAAATGTTGATTATTCATCGATGATTCCGGATGATTACGATTACGTGGAAAGTTATCGTTCTCTCGATGTCCTGAAATGACAATAATTTTTCTGTAAAAGTCTGAAATAGTTGCATAATTTTGGAAAATGTCTAGAATAGCTCCACTCTAGAAAACTTTTGTTGTTATAATATTCAACGTCAGTGGACGATGTAAATAGTTAGAGGAAAATGAGAAAACCTGAGAGGTTGAGAATGAAAAAACAGAGGAACAAAAACAAATCAAGATCTTACCATCCCCTGGGCAGCATAAAAAAATACGTCTGCATAACCTGATCTTCAAATAGAATCATATCGAGTCTTTCTTCGTGCATAAGCCCCCATGCAGGCGAAAAATCCAACGATCCCGATAACAAGTCCAATAATTAATGCCAAAGTATCACCGAAATCGAATCCATGAGATGCTGCCGCGGAATTGGCATTCGCCAATAGTGTAATAATTAATAACCAGAACATGTCTTAATTAACGTCACCAAAGCCCAATTGTTTTTACAATCGATTGATCCGGTAATTAATTATAGGAAAAAGGTGAAAAAATAAGGCCAAAATACAGATCTGTCGTCAATAACAGCAACAATACGGTAATTAGGAATTGCACTGTTGATGGAGGGCGCCACACGCAATGCTGGGGTGTTTTTTTTTTATTAACCAAGTTTTTATTGCAATGCTGGGGTGTTTATCAAGTCGACGGGGTGGATTTTATTTTCTGCGGTGTGAATGCTTTTTGTTTTTTATTTGTTTAACTGAAATTTAGCCAACTGTACAACGTGCGGAAGAGGGAAACCATATCTTGTGGAATTTCAATGAAAAAAATTATTTAATATGTTGCAGATATACCACTAATAAAAATATTATTTACAGAATGAGCGCGTTGTCTTAATGGTAACGTGCTTGCCTACCACGCCGACGGCCAGGGTTCGATCCCGCCGTCTTTCATTTTTTTTTTTTATAAATAATTTCAATTTTATCTTTTTTTAATTGGTTAATCAATCTAAATATCGTTTAAACACTGAATTTTTGAAAAGCAGAAAGATATCCTGTGAAATTGACAAATTAACAATTTTTTAAAACGATACGTTTGCAAAATATATACTCCTAATGAAATTTAATTATTGTTATAGTGCGTTATCCTAACGGTAACGCGCTCGGCTACCACGCCGACGGCCAGGGTTC